CAGCACCCAGCACACCCAGGGGTACAGCACCCAGCACCCTCAGGGCACAGCACCCAGCACATCACTGACACTGGCATGTCCCTGGCTCAGCACCCAGCACATCACTGAGCCTGGCTCAGCCCTGGCTCAGCACCCAGCACACCCAGGGGTACAGCACCCAGCACGTCACTGACACTGGCATGTCCCTGGCTCAGCACCCAGCACATCACTGAGCCTGGCTCAGCCCTCCAGCTGGGGCAGGCAGGAAAGCCCATCCTGCTCAGCATGACAGAGCTACCTAGGGTGGAAAGCACCTCTCAGGTCATCGAGTCCAACCTGAGAACAATCACACCTTGTCAACCAGCAGGGTGGCACCTGTCCTGATGAAAGCACTGATTGTAGGCTGCCTGTTGTCTCCAGCCCCAAATCACCCCAGCCCCTGACCCAGGAAGCTCTTTCCTCTCTCTGCTCCTCCAAATGCTTCACTGCAAGTCTCCACATTAAACTTGAGATGAGACCTAAATCTAAATTCCTGTCGAGTGCCCACAGAAGGAAGCAGGAGCCTGTGCACCCAGAGTGGGTGAGGACAGGAACCCAAAGTGAGCTTCAGTGCAGCTGAGTCTGGGAATCACACCAGACCTTGGGAACACTCATGCAAGGGCAGTATTCATTAAAGCAGAGTGAAAGAGCATTCCAGGGAATGCATCCCATTTATCTCCAGCCTCCAAGTGGGCTGCTGGTGTTGTCACACCGAGCCTCAATGTCACTGTTCTCTGGGCTGGGGACGTGTCCTCTGCAGCTGCCTGGAGCTGGGCTGCTTTGAGGGGGACTCCTCGTGCTTAAAATCAGGCTTATGATGGATCAAGAGCAGAAAAATGAAGTAGCAAGAAATCCATCTGAGCTGTAATGCACAGAAATATTGGAAATAAAGTAATTTGCCTTTCCTAGCTGAAGTAATGACAAAAACCAGGTTTTTAAAGAAATTGTATGCTTATCACTACAGGAATCAGTGCCTTGCCTTTCTAGAGTCCATTTAGTGTAGGTCTGATTGCTGCACAGACAGAATAAATACAGCATTTAACACGAAAGTTTCCTTTCTGGAGTCCATTTAGTGTAGATCTGATTGCTGCAGAGACAGAATAAACAATCTGCAACATTTAACATGTAAGTAATGTCACAACAGGTATGTTGCTCAGGAAAAGGCAACGGTGGCACTGGGATGAGTCACAGACAGGGAAATACTGATCATGTTTTTGAAAACCTGTTACACAGCTGTGTTTGCTCCCAGGCAAGCCTCAGTCTCACACAAAGGTGCTGCAGCTAACGAGGAATGACCCAGGTACTGCCACTGCTGTCGGGCTTAGCAAGGAAAGTGCTCTGTGGGTATTGCTAAGGGTGGAACGTGATGTTACACAGAATTACTGCATGGAATACTCACTGCCAGCAAACACGGCTGTCATTTTGCACAGGTCCATGCTCAGCACTTCCATCAGTGGCCAGCTCAGTCCAACTGTCCCCAGCACTGCAAGGCCACCGCTGCCCCACGTCCCAGGAGCTGTGCAGAGCCACAGGGTCCCCCTGATCCCCCTTTTCTGCAGGCTGAGCCCCTTCCCAGATCCCTCAGCCCCTCCTGGGGCTCTGTTCCCTCCCCAGCACTGGAGGCGTCCCAGCAGTGCCCTGGGCCTATGACCACGCTGCTGTATTGACCACGAGACAAATGTGTGTAAAAAGGAATTAAAACTGCAAAACATGGAAAGGAGACAGACACTAGTGAAATTCCAATATGGGAGTGAAAATATATTACTTCAAATTTGCTATAGTATAAGTTGCCTGATTTTTCTAGAACTGAAGCAAGTTATCAGTCAGACAGAAGATGAACCAATTAAATACTTGTCAGTGGTGAGTACACATTTATGCAGCAGGGAAACGCTCAGCTCCTCAGTGCAGCCAAGCCAGGGACTCCTTTGGCTCGCTGCACATGCTGGGTATCAAGCCTGGGGTTATAAATATCTCTAATGGACTTAGCAACAGGTACCTACAATCCTCTCAGAGACAGCAGCTTGCTCTCCTAGCCCTGCATCCAGTTGGCAGGAGAGCTTTTATTGAATTATAGTCGTGCTTCTTTCCTGAACCAGGCTACAAAACTTAACGCAGTCAAAATAATCAAGTCTAAACATGTCGGAGAATTTCCTTCCTCAGAGCTGCAGGATTTGGATTTCCCCAGCACGTGCCACCCCTGACGGGCTGACCAAGGACCTGAGCCCAGGTTGGCACTGCCAACTCCACTGTGGCAGGGAGCCTGGCTCAGGAAAATCCACTCCCAAAACCCCTTCTCCCTCCAGTTACTTCTACACTTGCAGTGAACCCAGAAAGAGTGGGGGGAAAAAGGGGAAAACCTTGTTCTTCAAGAGAGAATTACATGCAAAGAAGGACTAAAAGGAATATCCACTCAACAACTTGTGGGACAGGAAAAGAAAATGTAGGAGCTCTTAAAAAGCATCAGCTGAAGGAGCCATGGCTACCATAAATTCCATTTTCCCGAGTCCACACACACCAAGTGTCAGGCTCCCTACCTTGAGAATATTGTTGTTATTCCGTGGCCCAGGCACACTGTACTTACAGGAAAGAAATTCCTATGAATGACTCACTTTTCAAACTGAGAGAACACCTCCACGGAATCTGCACTTAGGGATGGTTTATTTCCCACCACATATGACGCTGCTGTTTTCTCTACTCTCCCCCAAACTATTAAAAGGAAAATTAGGTGAGGCACATCTAATTACAGGGTTTAGGGTTTTCTGAAACAGGAAAAGGTTGAAGATGGTAAAAGAACAATGGTGAAGAACAATAGGAAGAGATAAGTGACAAGAAAATTCCAAACTCTGGTGTTGAAAAATTTCTCCATTCAGTTTGGCACTCAGGAATAACACTGAACTGCCACCACAGAAATCAATCTATCCCAAGCCTCCACACCACAGCAGCTCCAGAGCATTCAGACAATTTGAACATGTCTGGAGTGTGACTTTGGTGACAGCAACTCAGGAGGTGAAAAGCTTCTATTTATTTATCCAGGGCTTTTCTTGGAACACTTTTTACGCAAAGCCAAGAAAGTCAATTTTTCAACAATTTATAAATTTTGAGCACCAACGCGTGGTGTAAATAAAGATGGAGACGTGACCAACTGCACAAAGCTGTGACCTGTCCCCACATTTCACAGCTGTGACAGCTGAGGGGTTTGGAACGCAGGGAGTGGCAGGGTCGGTGTCCCTGTCCCTGCCAGCCCGGCTGGCACACACCTCCCTGCTGAGATGTGTGTGCTTCTCTCAGGCACTGCTGGATCCCCAGGCAGACCCCTGAGGAACCAGGAGCAGATATTTTGCCCAGTTTCCCTGCGGACAAGTCCTGCCAGAGGTGTCTGTCAGCACGTTCAAGGCTGCGATGCGACCCGCATTTCAGGGTGAGCAGCAGCCCCAGGAGGAGGTGTGCTCCAGAGCTGCTGGCATCCACCCCTGGGTGCTGGGATGCTTCAGGGGCCCGGAGCCCGGGCTGGGCCCCAGGGGAAGGGGGGACACGGGGCCGGGCTGTGGGCACACAGCAGCCCGGGCTGCACCGCGGCGTGCCCCCCAAAGCCCTTCACACACCCCAACAAAATACTCTTTGTTAGCTCAACATCCAGAGACTCTGCCCCTTCAGTGACTCTTGGCCATTCTTAACCAACTTTTTCTCCTTCCCTAGAAAATTACAGCCATTTTATGTCACTCCAGCAGATGTATTCCATATTTTCCAATGTACTGCACCTACTTGTCACTCTTCTCCAATCTTTAGGTGTGTTTTTCTGCCACTGCAGAACTGAGAGAGCAATAAACCAGGAAAGCCTGACTCAAAGCAGTCTGGAAGTGATGCTACTCTGGAGCAGGTGAAAGCAAAATAAAAAGGCACCGATTTATTAAAATATCAAATCACCCAATATGTACTACTCAGATGTTGGTGCTGGGTTATGAAATCTGGATAAATGTATAAAGCAACCATGAGTTCCACCAAAACAACAGCAAGGAATTACAACTATCAAAGGCACCTCTAAATTCTCCCTGTTTCACTGAAAGCCCATTTTCTGCTCCTCCCCACCTCCCAAGGCACCAAATAATTTCCATCTGAAACTAAATCCTGCTTGAAATCCCTGCTCTTCAGTTGCCCTGTTCAAACCCTGATCCCTCAGGACCTTGTGCTCACTTCTATTCTCCCAAAGTTTGAGTATTGCCCCTAAAACAACCACATCCTTAGGGTGATTTTGCCAAAGAAGGATGGCAGCATTTTACAATTGGCCT